AAAAAAAAAAAAAAAAAAAAAAAAAAAAAATATTACATTTTAATAATGTGTACACCACACAACATAAAACGCGTCGATTTTCCTTCCTCCTTTGATAAATTTTGCGGATGTCGATCTTTAATGCGGAAAACAAAAAAAAAGATTTTTTCCGTTCCGAAAAATGAGGCTTTGATAATCCCTATTGTTCTAACATTATCTAGAAAGGGAAATTATTCGTTATTTACGTTTTAAAAAATGATTCGTGTATAAAATCAAAAAAAGAAAATACGCAAAATGTATATGCATGCATAGATTGCTTTTGTTGCTTTCAATTGATCCTAAAGGTGGGATTAACCATTAAATATCGGCGATTCGGCATATACCGAAATTAAAAACTCTTAGCCTTTTTTTTGCATACTCGACATTAGCATTTACCAGTTAATGCATATATAAATAAATATACATATTGTTTGTTGTAAATGTATTAAAAATATTGAGCATACATACTTTATCCGAAAAAAAAAAAAAAATAACTTGTAATTATTATTTATTTATTATGTATATCGAAATAATCGAATGATGATGAACTGAATGTTGATCACAAGAAATTAAACCATGTGAAAAAATATAAATTATGAAAAATCTTTCGGAAATTCCGGGTGTTACGATTTGGATTTAGAAAAAAAAATACGCGTATATCGTATACATAATCATCTCATAATCATATCATAATCATATCGTAATATTAGTATAGTCCTTGTATAGTTCGTGAATAGTCCGTGTATAGTCAGTCTGTATAGTTCGTTATATCCGTATAAGCCGGTAAATCTGCAAATCCGTATAGGCGATATAGATGGATAAACGGTACAATCCATAACGGTATAGTCCATACTCCATAGTCCATTACCCTATACGGGTCGTTGCGCTTAGTAAGGATTGTAAGTATTCTCTTTGTCTAAATCTCAAAAATCTCAAATGATCACCAGCCGTAATTCGTCGTCGTCTCGTTCTCCTTTCACTAAATCAATTGGGAATATGTAACACGATGTTTTGTTGATTTAAATAAACCCATTGTCCAAAAATTCCATTAAATCTAATTAGGTATGTCCGGAACTTGTAAGTTGTAACCACTTTAGTGAAAGGATGTTGAATTTCCAATCCATCACAATCCATCAATTTCTTTTTGGTAAGAGATCCATAATCTGTATGACTATTAATATATGTAATATACTTAATTAATACAGTATATACGGTATATACGATTACTTGTATTACAAATATGATATAATATTTACCTTCCAGCACGAATGTTTTCATCAATAGTAGTAATAATGATCTAAAATTATCATCAGATTTCATCACCAGATATCTATATCATCGTTAATATTTAAAGATAATGCGATGGCAAGCCTACGGTAGTGATGGCGGTGATGGCGGTGATGAAGTAAAAGACATTAATATTAATATATTAATATATTTAATATAATTTTAAACAATAAATACAATTAAACTAATAAATATAATAAATATAATAAATATAATTTACAGTATTACTTTTTCAAATGATTCAATTATACTTTTGGTAATTCTTGAGCGATAGGTTTTTCATTTTTTAAATTTACCAAAATTAAGACATCTATAAAAAAAAAAATAATAATTTTTTAAAAAACTGAGAGTTAACTGCGGTAGAAAGTAGAAACAATAACAAAAAAAAAATAAATAAAAAATAATAATAATAAAATATTATAATAATAACAAATAACAAATAATATAAAAATAAAAATAATAATTTAAATTAATTATAATTACTCTTTTATAAAATCTCCTGAGGATCAAAGAATTTCTTTGTTTTAAAAATCAACATAACCAAAAAAAAAAATAATATAATATAATTATCATTCATAAATATATCTTAAATTTTTTTTTCTTTCTCCTCTGATGTTTCAATTTTTGCCTAAAAAATAATATTTATCATAAAAATTAATCTTTCGCTTCGGAACGATAATAATAAAATGATAAATAATAAATAATATAATAATAATAATAATAATAATAATAATTATAAATTCAACATAATTAATTTACAATTGTTAAAACATTTCATTAATAAAATTATTTTTTTTTAAATAATAAATTCACAAACATATTTTAATTTTCTATTAGATTAAATCAATTACTGGTATGTAATCAACGAGAAACATCTGTTATCAATGTTATCAGTGTTATCAAGACTATCAAAGTTATATAACAATAAAAAGTTATATAACAATAATAAAGTCGATAATTAGAAAAAAAAAAATTTAATTTTTTTTTTTTGATATTCATTAAAAATGTGGCTAAATAGGTAAATAGGCTAAAAGGTGATTTGTGACTTGATTTTTTGGGCTGTGCAAAATCACTTTTTATTTGTTTACCATTTAAAGGATAATGAAAAAAATTAAGTCATTATGTACGTCACGTCAAAAAAATCCCATCATTTATTTGTTCATAACTTGAACATTGTTTTGTTCCTCTAGATTTAAACCTTCTAGTAAATTCCTGATCCAAAAATAATCTAAAATATATTGGGTAAAATGCACCTATTGTCAAATAAATTGGGCGTTAGTAAAATTTCAGGCGGGAAAAAAATTAAGTGATTTAAGTGATGAAGGAAATATTAATTTAATTACAAAAAGGTATAATTTAATTTGGCGGTAAAAATTAAGACGAAACGAAAAAGAACGCCAACTTCCAAATAATTCAATTACATCAAAACTTAAAAAAAAAATTTTTTGTAATCGTACGTAAAAAAAAAACCGACTTTTTTTTTTTACTTGTACGTAAATCATTTAAACGTAAAATCAAAAACAATAAGTGATAAAAATATTATTGTTATTAATGTATGCGAAATTTATTATTAGTTAGTACATTGCAGGAAGACATTCATTTTACATAAACAATAAAAAGTCTATTATATTATTATCATCATTTTTGGTTCCAATCAAAAAAAAAGTCTGAGCGTAAAATGATATTATTTTAAATGTTACCAACATTAAAACAACGTTTAGCGGCGTTAAAATAATGTTTTTTTTTCTTTTTCGATCACGTATGTTCGAGTTTCAACACGTGGTTTTTTTTTTTCATTACACAGAAATTACACGTTTTTCTCAAATCTGTGGTAGAAAACCTTTTACACGAAATTCTTAAATTAGGAATTACAAAGTAATACAAAAGAATACAAGGGGGAAATACAAGGAATACAAGGAAAAGACAAGAATACAAAAATACAAAGGAATACAAGGGATACAAGGGATTGACAAAAACAACAAGTTTTGAATGAACATTGAACATTGAACATTGAAGCAACCGAACATCTGATTCTTAAAAAAAAACTTTATTTTCAATAAAACCTGTTATAAAACTTCATTATTTGAAAAATAAATACACATGACAATTTCATATGATAAAAATTAAAAAGATTTGTGATATCAGGAGATTACTAACAACATACGTTTTTTAATATTGATAAATATATTGATTGTATTATATGGTATATAAAATTCTCAATATATATATTATATATTATCTCAAATTCTCAATATTCTCAATATATCGGATATATATATTATATCTCAATTCTCAAATTCTCATTGCATATTATATGGCCTTGTATATCTCTTTCTCTCTCGTATATCAAATCGTATATCAAAGCTTTATCTTTCAAATCATTGTTCTGACATAATAATAAATAAATGCAGGGTTACTATTACGGGTTACTCAAAAAAAAAAAAAAAGAGGGACCATCCTTTCATCAGTTAATCACCCACAAAGCGCACGTACAAGAAACATTTTACATGCATAATATTATGTAATAAGAAACCCAAAGTTATACATTTTTGGTTATTGTTGGTTTAACAAATTCTTTAACAATTTCCCAAGTTATCAGAGAAATGATCGGAACCTGATAGAGAACAAAATTTTATGACTTCATATGTAACTACTTTTCGTTAGTTTCAAACACCTGAACGGATGATGATTTTCTGTGTTGTTTAAAAGATCCACAACATTCTAGTAAAAATTCTGATAAGTTTAAACAGTGAAAGGCATATGAAGATAGAAATGATGAGTATGATAGGTTCCCAAAATTGTCCATCATTCTTATTATTAATTTGTTTTTTCCAGTTTTGATAAGGAAGTTCATTATTCTCATCGGTTATCTTTCATTTTATGGTAAAAGTATGAGAGAAAATATGGATAAAAGATATGAGTTATATGGATTAAAGGTATAAAGGTAAAGTATATGAGGTTAAAGTAAGTTCAAAAGATTTTCATTAATTGATTTTCAACTATTTAAAAATTTTGAAACTTTTTGAAAACTTGGGAAATAAAAAAAAAAAAAAATATGTATTAATGGGCAAATATTTTTCACAAAATACGCCCTATAACAGATACTGCATGTAGCATTATTATTATTACGGTAAAATTTGATTACTTCGCCCGATTATCATTTAATTAACATGAACTGAAGAGGAAAAAAACCTTTACACTATTTCTTTTTTTTTTTTTNTTTCTGCCGATTTACCAAAAAATTTTGTTATTATAAGTGTTATTATAATACTCATTACCGCCTTATTACCATTTGATTCATTGTTGTACACGTGTTACATTTTTCTTTTAAATAATGGGAGTACAACATAACATGTAACATTGTTATTGAGTGTTACAAACAAAGTTTTTTGATCTCAACCAATTTCTCCGTTATTAGGAAAGTAAGCGTTTCGTCACCCAAAAAGTCCGGTATTGTGTTACTATAAATATTATTATTAATAAGAAGAGATCCCTTTAATTTTAGATGTTTAGTAATAATAATAATTTTAGGGTGAGTAAAAATATAATTGAAACGTAAAACATGAAGATTTAAATATAGATTTATTATTTTTATTATTATATATATATATATTTATATATGGATGATTATAATAAATAAATAAATATAACTGATAACTGATAATGTTTTTAATGATTTACAAGTATATCATTACCAAATATATTTTTCTGATGTGAAACAAGTCTGGGTCAGGGGAACTTATTTATTTAGTTCACAAACTATTCAAACTATTACACTATTACATATTTACATTGGTTACCCGAGTTATGAATTACGTTATTTGGTTTTTTTTTTCTCACAAAATCAAAACAAAACAATAAATTTTTTTTCAATCTTTTTTTTTTTTTACCTTTTTTACCGCACTTTTCCATATTTTCCGTATTTTCCCAAATTTGGTGAAATAAAAATATGGAGATGTTTATTTTAGATGATTATAAAGTTTTATATAAAAGCGAAAATAGTAAAGTTTCAATGATGATGTATTTGTGGAAAGATTAATTATACTAATTTGTAATCGGGTTTAGGATAATTTAAATATATTAATATATTTGGTTCAAATAAATAATGAACGTCATGTTTATAATGCGCCAAGATGGATTATAACAGGTTTAAAAAAAAAAAATAAATAAATAAAATAAAGGTTAATTATATTATATTGTCGGTTATTATATTATTATAATTTGAACCACACGTTTTTTTGTTTTGTTTTTATTTTGTATCATAAAATAAGAAACGGATAAAAATGGAAAAAAAGTTCGGTGGGGTAAAAGGGAAAGAGCGAATAAAAATGATGAATTGATTGAATATTAAGTATTGTAATATTGTGTAAACATAGATCTTTAAATCTTGAATCAAATAAAATCAATCTATTATATGATGTAATCTGAACAAATGTTTAGAAGAATAACGCGTGATTTAAAATATATACATTTATTCATAATTTATTCATACGAATATACATTTATTTATTCATATTTATTTATTCGTATTTATTTATACATACATTAAAATACCATACGTCAAACGAATATACATTAAAATACCATACGTCAAACGAATATACATTAAATGCAATACGTCAAACGAATATACATTAAATGCAATACGTCAAACGAATATACACTAAATGCAATACGTCAACTAAAATCGTTATGTCGCGTGCTTTAAAATCGTTAAAATCGAAAACAAAGAATAATGCGATTATTCCCGATTGTCAGTTTTATGATATAATATATTATTTACTAATCTTACTAACCTTATTGTTCTTAATAAACGAATCCTGTCAAATTTGTCAATTATATACATATATATATATATATATATTTTTATTTTTATTTTTCAACATAAATAAAAGATCTTACATAGCTTAAAATCGGATCTTCTATTAATATTATTTCTTTTATTTCTTTTTTATTATAAAGTTATTTTTTTTTTTGAACCCTTTTTTTTTTATTTAAACTCCTTAAAAAAAAAAAAAACAAACCTACGCATTGACCAAAACGTCAAAAATTTCATTCATTCATTTTGTGGCAAAAAATTAATTTTTTCTCACCATCATACATTTATGGTTCATTTATAGTAATTTTTTTAGTCATTCCTCGGGAATGGAATCAAAAAATCGCGTTTTTATTTTTCTACCCATTTTTCCCCACATCATTTTTTTACCAAAAATGGAACAAAGTTCTAAAAAAAGTAATTTAAATTGTTTGGAAAATTCATGAATTTTTTTTTTTTTAAATTCCTGAAATCTTGAAATTCTAAAATCTTGACCAAAAGTATAATTTCAATTAAAGGAAATGCAAAAAGCGTATCATCACTTATTTGATTACACAAGATGAGTATATGAGAATTTAAAGAAATATTAAAACCATTTTAGTTATAAACAGGTTTTTTACAAGTAACTTGATAAATAAAGTAAGTGAGTTCATATAAAGTAAAAGTAGAGTTTATAAGTGAGTTCATATAAGTAAGTTCATATAAGTAAGTTCATATAAGTAAGTTCATATAAGTAAGTTCATATAAGTAAGTTCATATAAAATATATACTTCATATGTAAAGTAAACTTTATATAGTCATATATATAAACTTCATATAGTATAAAGTTCATATAGTTCAATAGCCATGTATATATTTATATTCAATTTAAAACAATATAATATGTGTATGCATATGATGATATAATTTAACAGAACCATCTAATCGAATTATGTGAAAAAACCTTTTTTTTTTTTTTTTTTTTTTTTTT